GCTATGACATCAGCTGAACACCTCCAGAAGATTTGGGACAAGCTTAGTGCTTTAAAAAAGCTGATTTCTCACATCTCTTGATAAAATACATTTGTAGAACCTTTATCAAGTGTGAATTTGCGCTCTATATATTCTATTGCTATGACATTAAATGCAAATATGCAACTGTCATGGAAATGTAAATGAGAAACTAAGAAGAAATGTATCCCTGCCTGACCCCAACACACCCACGCACTGTGAGGAGTAGCCCAGTGTTGCTAATCTGTTGGAAAAACGTGATCAAAGGGTTAAAGGTATTAAACCCATTTTCTGTGTGTTGTTTCTTATACGATTTGAATTGTTGCCATCTTTCTCTTTGCTCAATATCATTTCAGTTCGTTTCCGCTATTCAAAGTCTTTGTTTTACGTTTATTTCCTTTGACTAATTTACTGTTTTGTACTGACTACAATAACGGGGCCTGTGTGCTGCACTGTGAGCCAGGCCTCACCTGTACGCAGGCCTCACCTGTACGCCTGTCATTATGCAGGTGATGTCTCTGTAGCGGTGTGGGGCATCTCTACGCCACAGTCTGCTGTTGAGGAGGTCTGTGTGGTATTGGCCATCGTTGCCATGGCTACGGTCACCCGCTCCGGCGGTGACACAGGTGGCCCCGAGGCTGACCTGGGCGTGCGGGCCGTATGGGCTGCGGACGGTTCTCCGTTCCTGCGGAACGAGTTTCGGATGCCGGTGGACACGCGGCTGGAGAGACGTCTCACGGCGCCGCTGATGCCCCCAAGTCCGCCCTTGTTCTTCTTCAGTAACCCCACATCATCCTCCAGCTCTGACGGGGGCACTTCGATGTTCCCAGAATACCAGAACACCCACCAGATGAGGCTGAGGAAGATGACGATGGCGCCCGCGTAGATGAGCAGGTCGTAGAAAAACACGTTGGCGAACACGCCGAGCAGGAGCACGGCCAGTCCCACGATGTCAAACACCACCGCGAGCCAGAAGCAGCACACGCAGCGACCCAGACCCCGATAGGCCGGCTCCATGTCCCATAAGAGAAGTCGGTCCCAACGACGCCGGTTTATTTCCCGTTGTCTCTGCGCCGCGGCATTGAGCGCGGCTCCAGTGTGAGCCAGGTGTGGCGTCCTGTCCGCTCAGGTGCGCTGCCCCGAGAGGAGGGGCTGTAGGCGCTACCTGACGGCTGCGTTCATGCGCGTTCATGCTGAGCGTTTTTAAGGGTGTAGCTCGCTGGACCTAGACTTCGGACGTTACAGTGCAGGTATGAGTCATTAAACGTGAATATGAGAGCGGCTTCGCTTTACAAACTGAGAGGCCAGCAATAATAAACTACAAAAAAAACCTACAGATGATCTGACCAATGCCGCCTTCGCCATCTTGTTTTTACAACTGGCCACCAGAAAAAAAGCACAATTGCAATATTTGAAAATCGATTAAGAAGATAATTTATATTTATGGGTGAATCATCCCTCTGTCTCTACACAGGAACACTCCCTTAACCAGCAGTGTACTGCTGCTTTCAGCTGCTGGGAACTTGTGTCTCTATCTAGAACTAAACCAACAACCTTTTGCTTGACAAGTCGATGTACTAACCACACCACTTGAGATTTCAGTGCAATGGATAAAGGTTTTCTCCCACCTAGTCTTTGCACTTGTTTCACATGTTAAACATGTCACCAAAAAGGTGCCAACATGAAACCAGCTGTCAGTAATATCCCATCCAATCCACATTTGCAAAGAAATCAAATAAATATAATAATGAGAAAGGTCAGGGAAAATAAGAACCTACAGTAAGTTCTGTGGTTCATAACAACATAGAGGACCACAGTTTAAAATAAATGTATGAGCAGACTGTCAATACAAATTTTGATATGATTACCTAATAAAAATTAAGACTCGAGCCTGTATTTCCTGTTTTGCTTGCAAATACAGTCAGAAGTCTCATGTTACATGTTGCCAATCAGTGCTGTTGTGTCTCCGGCGTCAGGAAGATGAGCCTAAATTCAGCTTCTCCATCTGTCCATCGAAAACAGGAAACAACTCAGAAGGTGATATAATGAGGTATGAAGAGATGAACCCTGGGCCACCAGAAATAATATTGTTAGAAAGTGTTGAGTCGCCACACGCCTTCTAAAAACTTCACTTCTTGGTATTAATTGTGTTGTGCTGAAAGGTTAGATGTGTAGATTTGATCTCCTGACAAACAGGAAAATAAGATGCTTTGTGAACTGGAGCAACTCTCACTGGTAAAAACACTTTAGGCAACCTAACCGACTTTAGATATTTAGTCAAATGAAACTAAACTAAAAGAACTAAGATGGCCCCAAATGACCAAAACTACATCAAAACTTCCTCAACATTAATATTTATATTCATGCTGAGCTCAGGGTGACCTGCTGAACACTTGATGCTTAAAGACTGAAGTCACTGAGTGCTGTCAGGGCTTCTCAGCTGTTCAGTGTTCAGCCTCAGGATCGTTTTAAATCACTTTTATTTTTCACTGAAGCTGCATTTAGCTGGTTTTAGGATGCTAGTACTGTTAATGCTGCCTCTTCTTTCATCTGCCAGTCGCAAAATTAGCTGTGGGTGAAAAACAGTTCCCATCTTACCTTTGACACACACTGCTCCCATCTAAGCCACATCCACTCCACAGCCTGTACCCATTATTCCACACCATCATGTTTGCTGTGCATCCTGAGGTTGTCCCTTCACAGCTTTTCACCTCAAAGCTAACATACAGTGCTGCTGAGTGCTGGGTAGGTGCCCGTCTCGCTTATTCTTTGAGTTTTGAAAAATAAACCACAATTGACAAAATGACCTTCATATTATTTAAATGTAACATAAAATGTCTCCACTTAAGCTCAAGTCCATAAAATTTAATTACTGGTAAATTACTGGAGTCACAGAGGAAGTGATCTATCCAATCGGGCTTTTTCGATCGATGAGTCGGCCCTTGATGACCATCGCAGAAAATGCAAGTTTAAGGTTCTCGTGTTTTACTTTTCAGACACACTTTTATCTACAGTATAAACACAAAACATCTAAAAAAGGGCAAGAAGAAAACCCTGACGTGACTGATATGAGTGGATATGTTTGGAAAGAGCTCAGACCGGCAGCGACTTTGACAGGAGCTGGAAAGAGAACAGATCTCATGAAACAAGAGTCTGTGCAGTTTTCTCTTGTTCTGTCATTCAAAGGAAGAAAATCAAGTGCATTTAATCAATTAAATAATAATAATAAAAAAAATGATACAAGTCAAAATTGTTTCAAACAGGGGGATTCAGCGTAAAGACTGCTTTCCTGCCATCTGCCAACAAATAAGTGGTGTTGATAGGATGACGCTCGTCCATCCGCCTGAACTTTGACAGCACATGGAAGCTGGTGGTCAAGGTGAACCCTCCATCAAAGTCACATCACAACATGTTTTATCGTCTTTTAAGGTTCTTACAGGACCATCATTCACAGAATAAAAACTCTACAAAGCAGCATGAAAATATTAATCACAAAAATATGGTTAAACATTGTGAGACAGGGCAGAGGTTTGTCCTGCTGGTGCTCAGAAAACCTGAAACTGAATGTAACTCGTAATGGACTTCAGGACACAGACAGGTCATTCCTCTGACGTCGTCAATAGAAAATGAGTAGAATCTGTCTCCATCTTCAGGTTGCTGGGCACCCACATCTCTGCCAGTC